GCACCTGCGCGGCGCGTCCCGCGCGTTTAACAGCCGACAGCGCGAATCCGGCGAGCTCCCACATCCCCAAACTGCCAAAACCACTTGAGAGAGTCAGTCCGACGGGGTTTGTCACGGGCAGGAACCGAGGGCAGGCGGCTCCCCGGGGGATGCCCTAGGGCGCCCTCCCTCAGCCCTCGCCGGCTGCTGACCCGCGCGGCCGGGACACGTCCGGCTTTCCCCGGCCCCTCCGAGCCCGGCGGGGAGGGCAGGACAAGGACGTGGCCCCTGCATGGCGCGGGTGGCACCCTACCCCGTACCTCAGCTGTCCTCACCGGGACCCCCGCCTCCCGAGCTTCACAAGGAGGATGGAAGCACGGAAACTTGTGTAGTTTTCAAACATGCATCATTAGCGATCCAGCTTCCACTTGAACTGAAAAGCTTCAGCAACACGACCCGAGGTGATTCTTGGTGACAGGAGCGCTTGAGGGTCCCTGGGGGTCTGGAGCCCTCTGTGGAGGTCATTGCAGAAGGCGATTGAGTTCAGCAGCTCCAACTCACACCACTTACCGTGTGTTTAAAGGGTTTCAGAGCAGAGGACAGGCTGAGAGTGCCCGTCACCGTCACACGCAAGAGCTCCTGCTTGTCCAGATACATTCTGGGCAAGGATGGGTGTCAGGCTGCCAGACATAGCCCATTTTCCCTGCTGGACACTGCCCCGGGCATTGCCCTCATCCTGCTCTGTGCAGCAGAGCCAGTCTGTATCCTGGCTTCCCCATCACCTTCCTGACTGCAAACCCTGACCAAAACTAGGAAGTTCCACACTGTATTGACAATGATCAAACTACCAAAATTTACATGATGAAATGCAGTCATTACCACTATGATGCATGGAGCCAGCAGAGTTTTGAGTGACAGACTCAGGCCCACCTGGATGTAAATGTGGCTTCCTGAGAGCCCTGTGGAGACTGTGAGGGACACTGGTTGTTGTGTGACTGAAGGCACTTTGGAACCACTGTGTGTTCATCCCCTGCACGCTGCCCCTGGCAGGAGAGCATCCTCCTCACCACAGTGTTGGAACCAGCAGCTCCTTTCTAAGTGATGCCATTCATCCTCTTCTCTCTCCTCCCAGATCTCCCAGACAGGTAAAAATCAGGTGGAGTAAGGGACTGGCTTTTCTTCATTTTCTTCATTCAAAGCACACGATCCTGTTGCTTTTCCCTAAGCTGCCACAAACCATTTCAAAGCTACAGGCTTGATGATGTCATGACACCATAACATGGAGCTCCATTTGTTTTCTTTTTTCTTTTTTTTTATAAATTAGATTGGAAGAGATCTTCGAGATCATTAAGTCCAATCCATGCCCCGACACCTCAACTAGATCATGGCACCAAGTGCCAGATCCAGTCTTTTTTTAAACATATCTTGGGATGGTGCTCCACCTGGATCAAACTCTCCTTGCATTCAGCAAGTGCCACGTCCAAAGTGACATGGCTGCACTTGCCTGGCTTACAGGCTTTGACTTGGCCTACTCTTTCTCTAGCTCCTTCCCAAATCTCTTCCAAAGCCAAAGAACAGAGGAGCCTTGTCAGGGGGCTGCTAGGGACATCAGGAGTGACATGGCCCAGAATCTCACGCCCTTGAGAAGACTCCTGGGAGGTCTGTGAGGATGTGAGGCCCTGCTCAGTGCCGGGTGCTGTGCGGTGAGGGAGGCGATTGCCCTTATCAATAGCGTACATATCAAAGCAGGGCAAGAATAAACAAACATCTTTGGCACTGTGCTCGTCTTCCATGAGCCAAAAGGCAGGTGTGTGTGTGTGTGGATGTGTGTGTGGATAGCAAGTTTTCCAGCCGTTTCCCTGAACTCAGCCCTGATGTTGCAAGAACTGTCTAGCTGTGAAAACACGGCCTCGCCTTGATTTATGCCGCTTGTGGGTAAGATGACTAAGAAGAAGAAGCGGGGGGGGGAAAAAAAAGAGCATAACAGGAACAGAAATCCCAGTGGGAGCACGATGAGGGTGTGTACAGATTTGGTGGGACAGTCAGGTTAGGGAAACTGCAGCCAGAGCTTCAGGCAGTAGGAAGAGGAGACCACAAAACCACATGATATGTGTCATGATGTTCCACCTAAGATACAAAAGCACACCACAAGTTTTATGAAGGCAACTCTTACAGTAAAGAAATTAATTCTTTTGTGAAATTGTATCATTTTTTTTTCCTCCTTCAGATGAGTTCCATATGTCCTCATGATTTTTTACTTTTAAACACAGCAGTTTAGAACAAATCTTAAGTAACGTTTAGCCTGCGTCTAAAGTAAATATTTACAAAAACATTAAATAATGGTGCTGATCTTTGGAAAATGTGTATTGCTCCCTACCTGCTACTGTTTTGTGCCTATCTGGAGTAACAGAGAAGCTTTGTAATACAGCCCAAGGCTGTAAAAGCAGTATAACAGTGTGATTAGAAGTAATCAGATGGAAAATACTGACTATTAAAAACTGTGAAGAGAAAAGAGGGCTAAGCTGCAAATAGAAGGTTACATTAATTTGGTTTAACAAATTTTAAGAAAATTAATGGGGGAATTGGCTTTTAATCTTACAAAAGCTGTACTATTTTTGTAGAAGCATAATAAATAGTTATAGCTGTTATTTATGTCATGTATCATTTTCAAAGAACCTTGCTAAATAAATATTAATCATTTCACCAACCACTTAAAGGCAACCACTTTAGGGGTGCGGTGAGGCAACAATTTACCAAGTGAGTTGTGCTAAACAGGAAGTGAAGACAGCCAGATTCAATAAGGAGTCTGTGTGGGTATAAAAAATATTTTTGGAGGCTTTAACAATATCTTTAATGAGGTAAAACAAAACCCCATGGAATAGAGGGTAGATTTCTTTGTTAATGAGAAGCTTGCATTGGAACTTGTAATTACAGTGAGTTTCCAACAGGTAAAGAAGATTATTATTACATCTGAGAGAAAACAAATTGTGATGGATCAGTACTTGCATGCAGGGAAGTGTAACATTTTTATTAAAGAATGTGCTTCTCTCTGCTCACCTTCCTCACAGGAAAAACACCATATATTGTTGGCCTGTGATGTAGCAGTATTTCCCTGTCTCCACACTTTCATTTGAAGGCACTCAGTGGATTTCAGTCTCTGAATTTCTTAAAACCTTCCTGCAGTAAGGAATTCTGCTGGCCAATGACTCTCCCCAAACCTATCCTGTGTTAAAACTGGAAGAGTAAGCACCCAGCTTTTCCTTTTTCCACCTTTTTCCACAAATGAAGCTGAAGGTGTCTTCTGCTCCTGCCAGAGATGGCAGATGAGATTCAATCTTCTTGTATGCTAAATATCACAGAACAATCTAGGTTGGAAGGAACTTTTTTTCCTTCCTAGGAAGGAACTTTCCTAGGAACTTTCTCCTTCCTAGGAAGGAGATTTTTGTCCAACCACTCTGAGCAGGGTTCATTTCAATGTTAGATCGTGCTGCTGAAGTTCAGTTAAAGATTCTAATTAGATTTCTTTACTCCTGTACACAGGTGGCATTCTCTGTAGCTGCCCTGGACTCAAAAAAGTATCAAACCTAAAGCAGTTGCACCGCTAGCTGTCATGCCATGACTTGTTATTTGCTGTGACACCTGTGCTGTGATATGTCTGGCAAATAGATTTTCCTGCAGAAGATTGATTTTGATGTTGTAGTCACATAAAACATTGTGGCTCAGTCGTGCAATTCATGATTTGAAACATGCAGTTGTCAGATGAACAAGCCTCTACTACTTAAGGCTGTCACGCTGAAACTGCTGAATTATCACAACTGTTTCAATGTTTCACCTTTTTTTTTCATGTGTGTTGCAAGCAATACAATGTAGTCACTGTAGTAGCTCTTACATTTTCTTGCCTGTTTGTCCTTCTGTGTCCAATTCAGTGCCTTTTGTCTCAGTGTAGCAAAAACAACCAATCTAGTTGTATGAAGAAAATCCCCTCTCAATCCTGACATTCTCCCTTCTAAGAACGAGGTATGAATTTTGCAGACCAACCAGCATTAGTAGCTTGTATTACATTTTGCAAAGTCTCACCTTGTGCTGTGGCCTCTGCAATGACAGACCACATCCTGCCTGAGACTAGGTGTGTAAATAGCTGAAGAAAACCTTTCCCAGTGTCAGACTGTGGAATGCATTCTCCCTCTGTAGAAAGTTTAGTCTGTGCTTGTGTATGTCTGTATTATTACCTATGCACACCTCTAAGAAGGTGTATGTAGCTATGTGTGTGTGTGTTTATATACATTAGTGCATTCATATATATATATATATATATATATATGATGGGAGAGGTGAATGCTATTAATGCTCCCTTATATTCTTTTCAGTCCTTTTTCTCATCCTCTCAAAAATATTCTGAATTTTAGCCTATGGAGGCAGAAGCCTATCTTCCTCTCGTGAGCTACCACAAGTATGGTGGAGCCTGTCTTTTCAAGATCTTATGTCTGCACTATTGTTCCATTCCATTCCCAAAGCATATTAAATCAGAGAGATTGTGAAAAAAAGATCTGAAGGCAGCTCATCCACCTGAACAGAAATAATCTCCCTGCTGCATAGAAAAGGCTGAATCTGTTTCCATAGCACTATAGATTATCTCCTTGAGGCCTAATAAGCAAAGAGATTTCTTCCTGTTCAACATAGTTCAGTGTGCAGTTCCAGAAGCTCCACTTAATTTCATAAACAGTTGAAGCCTCTTTCATGTTTGGAGAATGATTGTGAGTTCAGCTGCTCAAGAGTCCTCTAAATGCTGCACTCTTTGTTATTCACTCTATTTTCTTTTTCTGCTTTCTAGATTGCCACTAATTTATACAACCTGGGTATCATATTATGTTCATTGATATTTATTAATGAGAAGCCTCAGAGGGTTTTTTAAGTGGGATGAGTCTTTATTATAAGGCAGCTAAACCAGCCCTCCAAGAGAGCACTTCTGAAAGACAGAATCTGTGTCTTTGGCCTGATCTGGAGCAGAATATTCCAAGTAAATCCAGTAACGTTGAGTGTATGTCTGATGTAGCTCATTTGCCAACAGCATTCCTATTCCGGTTGGAACACATAATAGACATGCAAAATATGCCAATATTTTGGTAATTTGGTGTAAAAACTGCTGCTTTTTTTCCTTTGGAGCTGGTAGAATATGGCTCACGTTTGTTGCGTGTGTATGGGCCTGCTCCTTATTAAACTCGTGGTCCCTTTTTCCAATAACCACTTCAGTGTTGGGAATCAACATAAGCAGTTCAGAAAAACACCATCTGTTGATTGGATAACCAAAAGTCTAGTTAGCTGGAAGTTTAAAAGACCACAAAGTCTCACTGAATCCATTTTTATGTTAATAAATTCCACCATGGAATATTTTCTGATGTCACATGGTAAAAGTGCCCCAAATAAATAGCAGCTGAAGCATTTTCCACTATTTATCACAGTGTTTTGTGAGCTTAACAATAGAAATTGGCCAGGATCTAAACTTCCCTAATCTCAGAATGCCATATGAGCATGTATATTTGGTTTCATGGATCTTAGACAAGTAGGTTCAGAAGGGATCTCATCTAGCCTGGCCAGAGCTGGGTCAGGTGGGCCTCTCCTATCCCAACCTCATGTTCATCTCACTTAGGAGTGGAGGCTGGGGGTAGCACTCTGTAATAGCTATTGACCTCATTCCATCCATCCTGTGCCATCCATTCTTTTGGTTCAGGTCACCTGCATAACTGTTTTTCAGTAGCAGTCCAGCACAAAACTATTGCTCCTCTGGACCAGTGTGCAAATACTTGATGAGACCTTCCAAGTCATCCTGGGTCCACTAAAAAGGGTAAATAAGGGATTTGCCTACGATGTTATAAAATTACTTCTAAGTAAAGCTAAGGAGGAGGACTCTGCCTTAGTGCTAGTGGTGCTGAGAGACCCTGAGGCTCAAAGTTCATGCCAGCACTGCAGCAATACTTTTGCAGGGTCATCATGGGGATGGTCTTCTCTCTAGATTTCAACACAGCCTGTGCTAGTATTTCCTGATAAATGGGCTACTGGCGATACTAAAGCCAGTATGTGCTACCCACTCATGGCCTTCTAGGGCACCTGCTGCAGCAGAAATCTGGCTGCCTCCTTTTATGAGAAA